CATGTTGATGTAGAAGAGACATGAAGAAGAGGGGACACATGGTGATGTAGAAGAGACATGGAGCAGAGGGGACACATGTTGATGTAGAAGAGACATGAAGAAGAGGGGACACATGTTGATGTAGAAGAGACATGAAGAAGAGGGGACACATGTTGATGTAGAAGAGACATGGAGAAGAGGGGACACATGGTGATGTAGAAGAGACATGAAGAAGAGGGGACACATGTTGATGGAGACATGAAGAAGAGGGGACACATGTTGATGAAGAAGAGGGGACACATGTTGATGAAGAAGAGACATGAAGAAGAGGGGACACATGTTGATGTAGAAGAGACATGAAGAAGAGGGGACACATGGTGATGTAGAAGAGACATGGAGGAGAGGGGACACATGTTGATGTAGAAGAGACATGAAGAGAGGGGACACATGTTGATGTAGAAGAGACATGAAGAAGAGGGGACACATGTTGATGTAGAAGAGGGGACACATGTTGATGTAGAAGAGACATGGAGAAGAGGGGACACATGTTGATGTAGAAGAGACATGGAGGAGAGGGGACACATGTTGATGTAGAAGAGACATGAAGAAGAGGGGACACATGTTGATGTAGAAGAGGGGACACATGTTGATGTAGAAGAGGGGACACATGTTGATGTAGAAGAGACATGAAGAAGAGGGGACACATGTTGATGTAGAAGAGACATGGAGGAGAGGGGACACATGTTGATGTAGAAGAGACATGAAGAAGAGGGGACACATGTTGATGTAGAAGAGACATGAGAAGAGGGGACACATGTTGATGTAGAAGAGACATGAAGAAGAGGGGACACATGTTGATGTAGAAGAGACATGAAGAAGAGGGGACACATGTTGATGTAGAAGAGACATGAAGAAGAGGGGACACATGTTGATGGAGAAGAGGGGACACATGTTGATGTAGAAGAGACATGAAGAAGAGGGGACACATGTTGATGTAGAAGAGACATGAAGAAGAGGGGACACATGTTGATGTAGAAGAGACATGAGAAGAGGGGACACATGTTGATGTAGAAGAGACATGAAGAAGAGGGGACACATGTTGATGTAGAAGAGACATGAAGAAGAGGGGACACATGTTGATGTAGAAGAGGGGACACATGTTGATGTAGAAGAGACATGAAGAAGAGGGGACACATGTTGATGTAGAAGAGACATGAAGAAGAGGGGACACATGTTGATGTAGAAGAGACATGGAGAAGTGGATTTTGAATAATAGGTGACCTTTAAAACGTTTGAATTTGAAAAAGTATGTGTCTTTTGCTGTGATCCTGGAGTGTGCATTGGCCCCTCACCGTGTAGCAGTCATCACACTGGGGGGCCCCGTCGCGGTCGTAGAACTGCATGCCCTGCAGGGGGCGCTGGCAGCTCAGGCAGCAGAAGCAGTCGGAGTGGAAGAGTTTCTCCATGGCTCTGACAGCCGGCTGGGTGCGGGACAGAGCCTCGCCACACTTCCCACACATCTCTGAACAGGGAGGAGAGAGGCACAGAGAGAGACGTTTGAATAAATAAGATATACAAACAAGATTATTCACAAATACATCCATCTTTCTACTCTCCTCTGCTTGTGTTAATAACTACAGTGTCCTTCCTTAATGCGTATTATAATGAACAAAGCTATTCATGTATAATATGTAATGTAATGCGCTTCGAGCACTTGGAAAAGCGCTCAAATAAATACCAGTAATTGTTATTATTTCCACATTAAAAAACAGACGGTTTAATGGATTTGTTTAGTTTTACGGACTCTTGTTTTGAGCAGCTTTATGTAGGATGTATTTTTCATTACACCAAACTACACCCGCCAATCTCGTTCGCACTTCCTCCAGCACAAGGAGACAGTTGGCAGTAAATAGTTCCTCCATCAAACTACTGAGAGCAAGATCTGTGAATCACCTCTGGATAGAGACATTTACATTTGAGTTTTTTATTTATTTTTGCTGCTTTAAGCTTCACAAGACGAGAGCCATCTAGTTCCTCTATATTTGATCGATGGCAGATATCTTCAACTCTCTGCAACTTGCATTCAAATATACGTTTGGTTTCGGGGTGGACTGTCCCTTTAAGGTCAAGCAGTGAACTGAGAACCACTGCAGAGATATATAAAAGCCTGTGAATACATTTTATTATCTATAAATATTTTGCGTTCAGCCAGAAAAAATCTGAACATTTCCGTTCTCTTATTTACTGTTTGTTTTACTTTCTGTGTTTTATAATGTGTGTATTCTTATTCTGTTTTTGTGTGAAAATACTTTTGACCTCTGTTTGAAAAGTAGTAATAGTACTTTTTTATATTTACAGTCTTGGGTATTACAATGTTTTCTCATATTGCAAACAAATCCATTTAGAAATGACATGATAATGTTATTTTTTAAATCACAAATATCACATCCAGCGTCTGTCTTTGTGTCGTGTGTGTGTACCTGTGGGTGGGGAGGTGATGACGGGTGCGTTTGTGTCCATGTCTCTGATGAAGTCCTTGGTCATCCTCTCCAGCTCCTCCACCTCCCTCATATTCAGAGGGACGCCTCCACCTGGGATAGCCACTGGGCCGGAGGGTGAGGGCTACACACACACACACACACCATTAAATCATACATTATTCACATAGCTTCATTCAACATACCTTAA